CTACTAAAAGTAGAACTCTGATTATATAAAAATTATATATATAATAACTTTAATAGTAATTAAGCTATTAATAGATATATTATAAATAACTATAGGATATAGATAAATTAATTAAATAAAGCTAATACTTAGAAAATAATAAATATTTAAATATAATAAAAATTAGATAACTTATAAAATAGATATACTATAGTAAAGAGATAATAAACTCTTTTAGAAGCTATATATAGACTAGGCTAATAGTACTAATCTTTAAAATAAACTCTTTCTCTTAAAAGATATTAATTCTATTAAAAACCTTAGATTAATTCTAAGTAGTATTCTAGAACTAATATCTAACTAGTTAAATTCCTTTTAAAATAATCAGCCTAGTTAATAGTTAGCTACTTAGGAGTAATATCTATTAAAATTACAGGGGATCTTAAGATATATTAAGCCTTAAGACCTCTATAATATAGTAGGAAAACTACTATAACTTATAGAATCTTACTACTAATAAATATTATAACTTAGTAAGTTTTAGTACTATAAAGACCTAATATAGTATAAAATATAGTATAAAAGAATCTTATTTTTATAAGAGAGATTAGAAAATTCTACTAATTTCTTTTTTATAGATCTACTAATTAAAAACTACTTTAAATCCTACTAAAGCTATTTTCTAAACTATTTTTAATTTTCTATAAAATTTATTACTATTAGAAAGTAAAAAAATTAACTTATAACTACTAAACTATCTAACTAATATATATTATCTTTTTAAAATCTATTTTTATCTAATAGAAGCTTAAAAAGTAATTAATTAAGTATAGATATTAGATATTTTATTTTTAAAGCTAAAGAAATTATTTAAGATCTAAGATCTAATCTAGAATAAGCTAACTATAAGGTAGTCTGAATATAGATTAGATTATCTAAGATATCCTAGGATTTTTTCTGGATTTTCTAAACTCTTATTTAGACTTAATAAGCCTAATAACCTAATAATAGCTCTGCTTATACTCTAAGCCCTACAGGGGTCTCTGGAGCCTGCTAAGCTATAGTAGTTATAGCAGGCTGCAGCTACTAATCTATAGTAGCTATAACTGATATTAGTTAGTAATTATAATTACTATCAGATAGTAATCTTAATTACTATTAGCTAGTATTAGTAGGGGGTTATTAGCAGTTATAGCTAGTAGCTATAATTACTAATAGTTAATAGTTATAATTACTAGCAGTTAGTAGCTATAATTACTAGCAGCTAGCAGTTATAATTACTAGTAGCTAGTAGTTATAATTGCTAATAGTAATTAACTCTACTAAGTTATAGTAGCTATAATCTCTAAAATTAATAATATCTAATCTATATTTATAACTTTATAATTAAAGCTATAAGAATAAATATAGATAATTAGTATAAATAGTTAGAGCTCTCTATAATATAAGATATTATACTATATAGTAAAAAGTATATTTTTAAATAGTTAATCTATTACTTAGTAGTTAATACTTAGAAAATAGAAATTAATTTAAATATACTTTATATAATAATAAGAAACTATAAGTAATTTCTATTAGAAATATTAATTACTAGAGAATAGTATAATAAAGAGTATATTTCTTTTAAAAACTTCTAAAAGAAATATAGTAAATAGTTATTATAAATTCTATTATTATATATTAGATTATATATAGAACTCTATATTTTTCTACTAATTAATAATAAATTATTAGGATTTTATAATAATCCCTATAATCCAGAGAAATAGATTATTACTAAGCTTTAATAATTCTCTGATATATATATATATATTTATTTTATTAGCTAGTTATACTCTCAGAGATAGTTATTAATATAATTATTACTATCTTTATTAAAACTAGCTTTTTAGTACTTATATATTAGCTATAACTTATATAGTATTAAAATAATCTAATTATACTACTTAGAATAATATTTTAATTAATTTAATTCCAATCTATTCTAGATCTCTATCTAGTATAAGTTATTTAACTATTATATATTAATAACTTTTATTTAACTAATTATCTTATCTTAATTACTATATAATAATAAAAAAGATATTATAGCTATTATAGTTCCTTAAGCTTAATAATATACTATTCTTATTATTACTAACTACTTACTAGTTCTATATATTAAAGATATAATAGATAAAGATAATAATAATAGTAGTAGTAATAATAATAATAATACTAAAGTCTAATTACTTTAGAAGTAAATTCTTTAATTCTAGAAATATTTTATAACTATATAATAGGAAATAGCTACTACTATTAACCTAATAGGATAATAAGCTATTTAGAATACTAATTTATAGGCTTAGGCCTAGGCTATAGTTAATAGATAGAAACTAGGAATTTTACTTAAGCTATTACTATCTAAGATATTTAATAGAATATAAATTAAACTCTAAGGATTTATTATCTAATTATAAGTATACTTTAAGTACTTCCCTATTACTCTTAATACTAATAAGAGATAAATTATTTATATCTATTTATAATTTAAGAGAATTATACTAGACTAATTTAAATCTATTATAAGAGAATATCTTAGTAGATAAGGAAGCTAATAAACTATTAATATTATAATAAACTTTAATTATTTTATAGAAGTTCTTTATTAAATCTTTAGAATCTAGGATAAGAAATATAAATTAGAGTATAAAATTAACCTTCTTACTTAAACTAAATTATATATAGCTTTTAGTACTAGATATCTCTAACTCTTAGCTAAAACTAGATAGAACTATAAATAAGCTATATTATATTACTTTAATAGATTTAAGAAGAAGGTCTAGAAAGAACTCTATAAGAAAAATAAACTAGTTAGTATTTATAAATATATAACTATAGCTATTAGAATTAATAATTAATAATACTAATAGTAAACTTATAATAAATAAATAACTTATCTAGTTAATACTAGAAAACTATAGTAATAATAAATTATAATCTCTGGAATATATATAGATCCTATAGAGCTAGGAGTTATAGAAAAATATAAGTATTATAATTATAATAAAATCAGATATATCTTATTATAATATTTAAAACCTAAGAAATAGAAATAATAGAAATCTGCTAAAGAAGATAAGAAATAGTTAAACGTAATTAGAAAAACTAAGATTAAAACCCTTAGTATAATCTAAAGAGTTACTTAGAAAGAAACTCCTATAACTATTATAATTCCTAAATTTTCCTTACTACTTATACTTATCTTTACTAGTTCTATAATATATTTTAATAATAGATATTTATATAATTCTTTTTAATTCTATAGAAATCTATTTATAATTTAAATAATTATCTTAATTTCTCTTCTTTAGAATATTATAAATAATAAATATTAAGTTTAAAGATATATTTCTATCTTCTTAATAATATATATATATCTATACTATTTATAAATAATAAATAGAAATTTAATAAAATAAATAAATAGCTTTATTATAGAGAAATAAAAAGTAAAGAAGAATAATAAAATAGATTTTAATTAGATCTAATTAAATAATATATTTCTTTATTTAATAAGATCTAGTTAAAATTCTTTCTATATTTTATCTACTTTAGAATAATAAAGTAATTAAAATATAATAATTTAATTAAACTTTAGTTAGTTTAGTTAAATACTAGATAAATAATTATCTTCTATAAGTTATTAAAAATTATTAATTAATTAGTTTAATAGACTTTTTATAATAGATTTTACTCTCTATCTTTTATTAGTATAGAAATTTACTTATTAAATTTTAATAAATTCTACTAGGAACTATTATAGTATTACTAATAAGGTAAATATAATTAAAAGCTTTAATTTTTAATAGATTTATTAAAATTATAAAATAAATAAAAAATAAATAAAAAATACCCTAAGGTTAACCTCAGTAAAGGAGTATAACAGCTGGCATAACTCCCTGTACGGCAGCTTTATCTACCCCCATCATCGCGACCTCGCTCAGCCCCAAAGATGTGCCGAAGCCAATGCCCGCGGTCAACATATTGATAACGATGGGTATAACGGCATCACGTAGAGAGCACTCGTGCGGGGTGATGTCGTACTTTTTGATAATCTCGGTAATTATTTTAAGCTTTGAGCAAGCGACCCAGAGCTGGCGCATGCCAACGATAGACGATATCGTCGTCAATCCCATGGTGGGTAGGAGCAGGATAACGCCCATCCCGATCTTGGTTCCTGCACCCCATATTTAACACGTCTTAATCACTTCGCGCTCGCGTATCTCGTAGAATTTTTTCTCGCAAGGACATTCAGCTTGTGCTTATAAGCAGGTCCATCAAAGGACAGAAGATCTTAGAACCTCACCATTTTGTAACCAATATATAGCAGACGGCCTGGAAAGTATTAACATAGACAGCGGTACCCTTTGGTCTTTGGGGCTGTCCGGGGCTTTTATTCCCCTTTTTGATTATCATCCCCGTGTGGACGCAACTAATTAAGATCTAAGTTTAATACTCACACAATCTGGAGAGCAAACATTGATTCGATTGCGATCGAGACACGAGGCCTCTGATCTCCCCGGTTCTGGACTCCTCGGCGTAGCTATCGATGATCGTCAAGGCTTCGACTGTTCAGTCAGCACCAATTATTGTGATATAGTATCGCTTTAAAGTTCTCAGCCCCAAGTTTGGAGCTGCCCTGGTGAATAGCCTGGAAGGGCAGTTGTTAGGAGTACAACATCCCGCTCGGCATATACCGTCAGCCAATCACGAACCACAGTGTTATCCGTCTTACTTTCAATATGTCATTTTCCACCTAATTTTACCCTCTCTTGGAAGCCCGCCTCAGACAGGATCTCCACTGATCTGGATTGTTCTGGATTCTTGTATCCGCCAAATGGCAACAGCGATACTTGGCAGTGCTCAGCCGTCCTTGGTAGCTCCGGTTTCAGCTCGCCACAGGACATACAAAAGGGAGTTTCAGCCGTTAACAGCATGCCGCCACCGGCTGAGGTCTCAAGTGGTATATGTTATCATCAGTATTTCACAGCACGCCCATGAGGTCCTTGACGAACAACCCTCTCCTCCGCACTCACAGGGGGAATAGACTCCGCACCACCAGCAGCTGTACCACCCTCCTGCTCACCAGTATATCCCCTCTGCCCCTTCTCCACATTATCCTTATCAGCAACCTGTTGCCTCACTTGCCTAAACACAGAGTCGCTATTGCTGGCACCTACACCCTCGAGGCTGCTACGCTCCTTCTTTCTCTTTCCCGGATGGGCGCCTTTGATTTCACGACTGGTTTGGCCGATCATGGGTCTGCCGTGCAGGACGTCAGTAGAATTGTAGATGTCCTTGGATGTTGAGCCAGGCATATCCAGAGCGCCAGTGTGGCTTTCCTCATTCATGGCGTCCGGGTTGTTCGCTTGGCCTATGTCGGCGTTGATGGGATTGGGACGGAAAGTGTTTTGAGTTGGTGCAGTTCCTGGCGGGAAAGCCTGGGCGTGGTACTCCGGTGAGGCATCGTTACCTTGCTCGTGGCCGGGCTTGTGCTAAAGAAAGTGTTAGATGTTAGATTACAATTAGATGAGAAGGGATTAGGCAAGTACTTGCCCACTTGTGGCCGTGGCTGTCGAGGTAATCAGGCATCTCGGCGGACATGTTGATTGGTTGGTGCTAGGTGCCTTACGGTTGCTGGTGTTGGTAAAGTGGGAGATGTATTATCGCCGATTCCAGCGCCTAAGAATAAGTACGATGAATGATAGTAAAAGATCTTCTTTCGGCGATGAAAAGCTGGTGATAAGGTGAGGGTTTTATAACATCAACACAGTTCATTACTTCTTATTCACGTCATACTGACAATATATATCTAAGCAAGAGCTGAACCCCGCGCGGTATACCAAAGTTGCTTTTCGATATTGGTCTAGAAGAGAATTGAATTACATAATTGATTATGTCATAGCATATACTCTGGTTAACAATACCTATGTGTTAATGACGTTGGTCGCTCAACGAGTCCAGCGTCATTACTACATCAATTCCATCCAGATCTAGGGTCGCGCGGGGTAAGAGCAGACGCTGAGACAAAGAGCTGAGCATAATATGAACATAATATAAAATGCCTAAAACAGATTGTTTCTTATAAGAAAAAACCTGTCAAGGTTATCCTGAACATAATAAGATCATATATAGTATATCAAGCAGAAAAGGCTCTAGGCTATATAGTATAATTTAGTCAAGGATGTTGTATTTTTCATCTCACCAAGGCCGACTATTGGGATAGTTTATAGCTCTTTAGCGAGAATAAAATTTCAAAACTAAAACTTTCCCTCCTTCAGCTAACGAGACTAAGTTCTTAATAACTCTTCTGCTTACTGGAGAAAATAGCACCAACCTCTCCCGAACCTGGGCTCTACAGTCTAACAGGTCTGAGATATCTTATAGGCAGTGAAAGAAGAAATTTCCTCTCTTGAATCTGGGCCTAAACACTGTGGGCTCACCAAGCCGCTTTTGATCGCGGATGTCAAAGGAATAGACAGTCAAGCTTTTGCAAAGTCTGGAATAAGTGAGTCACTGTTGTAAAAGGCAATTAAAAGCTTAGGTATAGAGTTTGTTTAGCAAAAAGTGACTCACAATATACCGCCCGCATTATATATATCTGTATTATAGCGACTGCTTACAATTTACCTGATATGGTAGTGATTTATTAAAAATATATATAAAGAAATTTTTAGTTTAATTCTCTCTTAATCTCCTCTTATTCCTTAATCCCAGCTTCAAAAGATTATATATCCATGGCATTTTACCCTTACTTCTCTTTAGTATGCTTCGTGTGGTTGTATTATTACTTGCCTGATTCCCGTCACCCCAATATCCTAGTAACTGTTCAAATAGAGTAGAGTTTCCAAGAGCTCCGCCGAAAATGTTCAGAAGAGAACCTTGGTCTACTCCCAGTAGGCCACCAATAACATCGCTTAGCAGACTGATGACCGGGACTGTGAACCCGATATGCTTCTGGTTCAGAACTCCCTCAATGTACTTAACGTGCTGGCCGTTGACAATAGTTGAGTTCCCAGTGGCGTTGAATTTGAAGTAGCCATTGCTTAGCCACTCCTTCTGGCTATCAAGGACCTCTGACAGATTCGGTACCAGCTCGTCAAAGAAGAAATTCCCGTCAAATGGCACAGTGTTGTTTCCGGGCCTGAGTTGAACGTCGTATAAATGAACCAGGCCGAGTCTGGTTGGCCCGGACTCCAAGTTGAATGTCAAGTTACCTAGTCCAAGTGAGAGTGCTCCAGAATTTGGGATGTTGAGATTGCCTTTCATATTGAACTTTGTATCATTTGACCTAAACATGAAATCCAGGTCCACGAGCCCGAAACCGTCGAGATAATTTAGGGATGGCACCTCGATGGCCTTGTCAAGGTGGCGTTTGTAGCTCAGAATACCGAGGAAAATGTTTGGGTCTCCCTTGAGAGATAGCTCCACTTTGGGCCGGTCAAAGAACTGGTTGAACCAAATGAGGAGTTCAGTTTCGTTGGTCACCAATAGAGTCTGGTTCGTCACGATAACGTCCGTTCGATGATTGATGTGCAGCTCTGGGAGACGAAGCTTGAAGAATGGAGAGACAGGGTTCGTTTCCTTGTTATACAGGTAGAGGTCCACAGGGTCAAGTTTCACTCCCAGCGGCGTGTTTAGAGACGTGAGAAGGCTCATGTTAACGTGCGTTGGCGAAAGCGCCTGGAGAGCGCCGCCGTCTATTGGCAGCTTCTGGCCATTGAGGATGTTCTGAATTATCGCTGGAATAATAACCTTGAATCTAGTGTGGCTCGCGGTTAGAGAATGCCCCTAATAGGCTATTGGCCTGTGGCTTTGGGACTTACAGTAACGGGAGTAGAATGGCGAGCAAAATAATAAATGCCAACAGGTACCACCACTTCCAGCGCTTGAAATGCCGCTTGGCCTTTTCTCTTTTGCTATTGACTGGACTAGCCTTCTTGTCATGAGCATGGTCTTCGAGTGAAGCCTCATAACTCTGAGTGTCCTGATCCGGAGCGCTATGTGTGCTACCTCTCCTCTGCCCAGGTGAAGAACGCCCGCCTGCGGCAGTGCTCTCCTTCTCTGTCATTTTGAACGGACTCTACACCTCACAAAGGGCAACAGTGAATTATGTTCTTTGAAGTGGCGACAAAAACCTATAATGCCGAGGGGCGATGACTTGAAAGATGAAAAATAGAGAGCAAGAGCAAGGATAAGTAGGTAGTGGGCCGTGCTAACTCCCCACCAAATACTAGGTAAAAAGAAAACACTACTCATCCTCACAATTACACTAACTTTACAAGGATAATGAAGGGCTTCATTTAGTAGGTCCACCTTGCACATCCTGGGGGCGGAAAAGATCCGCGGATCACTGTGCGGGGTTCCCGCGCTAATGAACAGGGGGAATCAGATACGAAAGCTGATTACAAGACTCCAAACCTAAACGAGTGTGATAAACCAGAGCTACCACAAAGCCTCCTCACTCCATCACATGCTGGTGCCGGAAGCCGTGGCCAAGAAACCTGCTGCAAGAGCCCCAAAAAGTTTAGCTTGCGAGTTATTGCAACCCAGCTTTCTTCGTATAAACCGAGGCATCGACCCATAATAAATCATTCAAGCCAAATCAACTCCTCTAGCCAAAGTTTCTAGATAGGCGCTGAGCAATTCGATAACACTGTTTTTATCATCAACTTCTAACTCCTTAAAGGCACGACGCTATTAATCACATATATTTCATCTATTGTAAAATGCCAGGCTTTTGATCAAAGGTGGAAGCACGGGTCTAGGGTAATATATTCAAACACTTAGATATATGTTAATTAAACGCTTATCAAACACTATTAATTTGCCTTAGGGGTATTGTGTACTAAATATATCGCATCCATATTAATAAACTGCTCATTGTGCTTGGTCCATATCGTCACATCATTATGGTCACTATTTCCTCCTATACTAATATTATGTTTTGCCCATCAACTGCTTAAGCACGGCATGGACAAGATCCGCCACAGTCGCGACAAGCTAGAGAAGTCAGTGAGTCGAAGATCGAATCCTAAATAGCATGACTGTACTTACAGGTGTCGCGTCCTCAATGAGCTCTCCCACTTGAGACACAAACGTCTGACTCAGAAGGGATTCAGCATTGCCGAGAAGGCCAATGATGCCGTTGATTGATTCCTCGGTGAGCAAGGGGCTCACGGCGCTTAGCAAACTGGCGAGATTCAACTTGCCGATCTCCTCGAGGAGAGGGCCAGCCTGGCTAAGTAGCTCGGCCAGGCCAGCATCACTCAGGCTGGCAAGAAGTGGCGAGGCATTTGAGATTAGAGACTTCGTTTGTGAAACGAAATCTTTGGTGAGGAGATCTTCAGCATTGCCGAGGAGGCCAATAATGCCAGTAATTGATTCCTCGGTAAGCAGCGGGCGCACGGCGCTCAGCAAACTGGCGAGATCCAATTTGCTGATCTCATTCAACAGTGGGCCAGCTTGATCAAGCAAGCCCGGGAGACCAGCCTTATCGAGACCTTCTAGAAGCGCGACGGCCTTTGAAATGAGGGATTTGACTTGAGATACAAAGTCTGCTGCCAAGAGATTTTCGGCATTGCCAAGAAGGGTTACCAAACCTTTGATTGAGTCTTTAGTCAGGAGTGGCGTTAATGCCTCAAGGATTCCTTGAAGGTCGAGGCCGCCTAAGCTGGCGATAAGCGGATTTGCATTTGTCAGGAGAGACTTAATGCTCTTGACAACATCTTCTGTCAGCAAAGACTCGGCGTTTTCCAGGAGCTTCAATAGGCCGTTGATAGAATCCTTGGTCAGGAGGGGCGACAGGCCGCTCAACACTCCCTGAAGGTCGATGTCTGAAAGGCTGTTGATCAACGGAGAAGCGCTTGTAAGTAATGACTTGATGCTCTCGACCACATCCTTTGTTAACAAAGACTCGGCATTTCCCAAGAGCTCAACAATGCCTTGAATAGAGGTCTTGGTTAAAATTGGTCCAAGGGCATCGAGGACTCCCGCCAGATCAATGTCAGAGAGCTTATCGACCAATGGCGCAGCGCTTGACAGCAGCGACTTGATGTTCTCGACCACATCTTTTGTTAACAAAGACTCGGCATTTTCCAAGAGCCCAACAATGCCTTGAATAGAGGTCTTGGTTAAAATTGGTCCAAGGGCATCGAGGACTCCCGTCAGATCAATGTCAGAGAGCTTATCGATCAATGGCGCAGCTTTGGACAGTAGTGACTTGATGCTCTCGACGATGTCTTTCGTTAAGAGTGACTCTGCATTATTCAAAAGCCCCACCAGCCCCTGTATATTCTCCTTATTGAGGATAGGGCTCAAGGCATCCAATACTCCCTCAATGTCAATACCAGATAGCTTATTAAGCAATGGCGAAGCGCTACCGATAAGGGCTTGCGTTTCGTTGACAAATTTGGGCGTCAAGAGGCCCTCTGCGTTTTTCAGTAGGCTCACAATACCGTCAATCGAGTCTCCTGAGAGAAGTGGCTTCACTGCTGTCAGGATTTCTTCAAAATTCAATTTGACGAGCTCTTTTAGGAACGGAGAAAGATCTGAGAGTACGGGTGCAATGTCTTTGATGAGCTTTTGGATCTCATCGACGAAATCCGCGGTCAGGAGATCGCCGGCATTCTTCACCAGGCTCACAATTCCTTTGACCGAGTCCTCGGTAAGTAGTGGCTGAAGTGCTTGCAAGAGTCCCTCAAGGTCAAGCTTCGTAAGTTCTTTCAAGAGTGGTGAGATGTCGCTGAGAATAGGGCCAACGTTCTCGATGAGGGATTGTGTTTGGTTGACAAAGTTAGGTGACAGTAGGGCTCCAGCGTTCTTGACTAAGGAAACAATATCCTCGATTGAGTCTTTCTTGAGCAACGGATCTAACGCATCAAGAATCCCTTCGAGGTCAAGGTCTGTAAGCTTTTGGAGCAAAGGCTTCAGGTCGCCTAGCAGGGGCGATACATCGGCAACAAGGGACTGAGTCTGATTGACAAAGGTGGGCGAGAGCAAGGTTTGCGCACTGTCGACCAGCTCAACAACGCCTTCAATCGCATCCTTTTTGAGCAAAGGACTCAAGGCGTCGAGAATGCCATCGAGGTCAAGCCCTGTAATCTTCTTGATCAAGGGAGATAGCTCAGTGAGCAAGGGTGAAACGTTGCCGACAAGTGACTGGGTCTCATTGACAAAGCTCGATGTCAGAAGGGCGGCGCCATTGGACAGCAATCTGTCAATGTTGTCGAGGTTTCCGTCCGTTAGAAGCTTTAGCACTTTGTTGACGATTCCTGGAAGATCGATGCCTGAAATCTCGTTGACGAGACCTTCGAGGTCTAATTTGGATACTAAATCCAAGAGCGCCCTTATCTGGGTGGGAGCAGGCGGCTTCAAGGTTGCAGCGAGGTAGACCATGGCATCATGAAACGCCTGAAGGAACTCAGATGTGAGCAATCCCTGGAGCGCTTTCAGCAGGCCTGGAAGATCCCCGAGGGTGCTGATGAGACCGCTGATAGAATTGCCCAGATCATCTAGGCCCGGGATTGAGAGAAGTCCGCTGGAGTCTGGGCTGGTCGTGCTATTATTTTGGCGTTTGATCAAGACTGGCGACCGGTGAAGCTGGTTGCTTTTGAGTAACACGTTGAACTCTTTCAGCGCATCTGTGAGCTCTGATCGAGGAACGAGCGCGAGATTGTGCTTTGACAGGAGCTCGACGAGCTCTAGCTCAGTCCGCGGGACGGCCTTGGGCGTGTCATGAGCCGCAAGACTGAGCGGCGCCAATGCCGTGACGAGTAACTGGCAGAACCGCATTGTTGCGATGAGGGCTGCTGCGAAGGTGGAAGAAGACCGATGTTGCTGAGGTGGGCTATCGTCGTTATTGCTTATACACAGCCTTTACATTTAAACCAATCACCGCATGTCAATTACCACTTGAGAACACTCCCGCCAACTCCCCGCACTTTCCCACGTTTCGTGCCTTGAGCTCCATAAATGTGTCGGCCAAGAACGTGGGGAGCGAGATCTAGCTTGGATTGGTAGTGTGTGGTTGATCCTTACGCTTGTTGACATGGGGTTGCCTCCATGCAGCTCGCAAGCTATCTCGTATTTGGTACAGGCCACTATCCAAGGCCAAGCTAGGGCTACGACCATCTTTGCCCGATCTCGCACGCTTTTGATGTGACAAAAGGTACCTCTCCCCGCAATCTTTAGAGTCTGGAACACTCCAAGTGTGATAACAAGCTCGTTAGTTCAAAGCGGTTCATGGAGAACGAATTAATGGTAGGAAGCTTACCAGGGTGATAGTGTGACAGTGACGCTACGAATTTCCAGAATCAGCTCACGCTTTGACTGATCTACACGCAAAGAGCCATCTAGATTACTAGTGTCGCTATTATACTCAATGCACAACCTTGTGTGGTGAAGTCGAATTCAATTCATGACGGTTATGCTTAGATATATTGAATAAAAGGAATTTCAATCGTTACACAGATCTAATAATTGTGCTGATTAAGTTGCAGCTTTGAAATCAACCTCACCGTGTCTGTTGATCACACCGACGCGATGGTAGTATGTTGTCGCCCTAATGTACTGATCCAGCTTCCAGAAGTTCAACTTAAGCTGCTTCACTGACCCGTCTCTCTCGGCACTCTTTGCCTTGCCCAGGTCGGACTCTGGTTCCAGAGACACCCACTCCGCCGTCAATCGATGGAACTGGTTCACCAGTTGGTCTCGTTCTGTTTGAGTTTTGAATTTCTCCTCCTCTGACTGCATCCTTTCATTCTCACCTGGCACTGGATCAACGAACTTGTACTCCCAAGCGTCGTCACCGCCGTAGCATGTCTGCAGGTTGGCCATAGAGATGAAGTTGGCTAAGCTTTTGTTGCCACTTGTGAAATGAATCTTTGAGGCAATTATGGGGGGAAGCCAATGTTTGATGACATTCCAAATACCTGTTGAATAAGATTAGCGCCATGTAGAACGATTGCTAAATCGTCATTGCTTACCCCAAAACACGAATGGGGCGTTGTGAACAAGGACTACCCCAAGAGTTTCTGGATATCGAGCCTCCAGGGTCTGAATGAGAAACTTGACAACATGGAAGTCCATGTTTCGCAAGCCAAAGCCAGTCAGATCAAAAATAAGACACACCTTATCGTGAGCCTCTCTCGACATGACCCTGAGCATCTCAATATTGTGCAGGACGTATGTCTCCATGGCGGCAGCTGACTGCTTGCTAGGATCATGAAGGCGAACCTTGATGATGTAGACAGGACGGTCATCTTTGTCAGTCCCTCTGACATAGCTCTTTCCAGAACGGTACTGCCTGATGAATGCTTCTTCATCCGCGGTCGGCGTCTTCTTCAGCCCGACACTTTCTCCTTCTCTGTTAAGGTTGGTGTTGATTCGTCGTTCGATGCGCCAGTTGACTGCAGATGCAAGCATCCTAACGGCTTCGGCGACATCCCAGTTGCGGGCTCGAAGAAAGCGAAGAACGGTTGCATCAGGATGGTCTGCAAGAATTGTGTCCCATAAGCCTTGCTTGAAGTTCTCAGGAGACTTGCTGTCAAGGTTTTGAAGAAACTCTTGACTTTTGTCTGGCGCTCCATGACTGATGCTCCGAGTCCCGCACAGTCGGAGTAAGTGCACCCATGCCTCTTGAAGCTTGCGTTCCTCTTCAACAGTCAAGTTGCCCAAAGAACCTGGTTCAGAAAGATGAGACATTTTGAGATTTAGTGTACTGATAGCTAGCACGGGTTGATTTTGAAGCGTAAGTAAAGAAGCCATATAAAAGATCTCAGCGAAACAATGCTGTTAATAGGTAGCTGGGACTGAGGGATGCAGGGTGATGAGTAAATAACTGTGCTATGGAAGAGGACAGCCAGACTAGCCGTGGATTCCAAACCTGGAAAGAAGCTATCAGCAGTTTCTCGAGCCTCTATGCCCAAGTTGGGAGAATAAGAGCGATCAGACACCGGAATCAATCCTAATTCTGTGATCAGCTGAGTGGTATAGAATGCGACTATTATCGTCTCGGAAGGTGGTTCTCAATTAGGAAACATGGTTGAACTGCACGAAGACAACCCCAAGATGACTGTCTGACTTGCCATTGTACATCATAGACGTATGCAAGGCTCGCAAGCCGCGCGATATGGAGCTAGTATACCCCGCGCCGGCCAAGATGCCCGAGTTTGACCAAGACCCGGTAGGAAGACGTCATCCACTCATCTACAACATCTACCTCGGATTGTAGGGCTCTTGCTCTGCGCAGCCACAAATGGCCGATATACGGGGATCCTGACAAGGTTGGTTGTTGAAGACTAGAGGAAAAAGAGATGTGGGTTTAGCATCTCCAATAGTCCTTTGTGAGATATTCTTCACACTATGCGTGCCTACTGAGAGTAGATTTCTACAGATGCTGAGAGCGGTCTTCAATCAAGATTGGATTATGCTTCTCTAAACGAGAACTGCTAGAGACACTATATCAATCATTTACGCTTCGAGCTCAATTATCCAAAGAAATGGCCATGGGGCCGACGCTGTTCGTCACAAGTACTCTAAATCCGTAGATATGTCTCCCCATTTCGCCCCAGCCATGTCTGAGAAATAATTGGACTTGGGGCTCCATAGCCCTGATCCGCCCTTTGGAAACACAGCACCGGCGTTCTTCAAGTAGGTAGAAGTCAAGGTCATCATGGGCTTAACCGGCATGTTATTCGATGTAACCATTCGCGGCACCACGGTGGTCAGGTTCCGTTCTCGCATCCTGTTGAGAATGCGGACAAAGAGCCGGGAGCTGACATCCGCCCCCAATGTCCAGGACGCATTCTCATAGCCCGTCACAAAGAGTAGATTTGGGACATCTTGAAGCATGGCCGCTCTCCAAGCATACCTGTCCGCCACGCTGAAGGCCTTCCCGTCGATCATAAACTTGATGCCTCCGCCAAAATGAAGCTTCAGACCTGTCGCGGTGACAATGACGTCTGGGTGCAATGCTTCTCCAGACTCAAGCTCGATGCGGTTCTCGGCGATAGTCTTGATCTTATCTGTAACCACATCTGCCTTGCCCGATCGAATAGCAGCGAAAAAGTCACCGTTCATGCAGGCGCAGAACCGTTGCTCCCATGGGTTGTAGCGGGGTTTGAAGTGAGGGTCCCAGCTAACGTCAGGTGGGAGCTGCTTGACGGTGATATATTTGATGATCTTTTTCGCTAGCCCAGGGCAGGACTTGCAGAGAAGCGTCGTGAGATAGCTCTTGAAGAGCCACAAGAGCCGGTTGAGAAAGTGGGCCATACTGGCAGGCAAGATGGTAAAAAGAAGTGCCGTGAAGAAGCTATTTGAGGGCAGCGGAAAAACGTAACCTGGGCTTCTTTGCAGCATAGTGATACATTTCGCTTTGTCGGCCATGGACGGTACGATTGTGACTGCGGTGGCGCCACTTCCAATGACAACTACGTTCTTGTTTGTGTAGTCGTAGTCTTCGGGCCAGAACTGAGGGTGTATGACTTTCCCTTTGAAGTTCTCGATACCCGGGATGGTGGTCTGGAGAGGCGTCTGGTAATCATAGTAGCCGGTACCGAGTATGACAAATCGGGCCTGAAAAACGACCGGTGCGTCATCTTCGGGTCGAGCCACTTGTAATTCCCACATCCTCTTCTCTGAGTGCCAGTGGGCCTCAGAAACACTATGTTTGTAGCAGATATGATGGTCGATACCTGCTGATCTCGCGGAGTCGATTATATAGTCTTTGATCTTGTCGCCGGCGGCCAGAGTTTCGTTGTGTTTCCATGGATTCCAAGGGAAGCCAAAAGTGAACATGTCCGAGTCGGATCGAATGCCGGGGTACTTGAACAAGTCCCATGTGCCCCCAATGGAGTCTCGACCCTCGAGGATAGCATAGGACACATCGGAAGGTCCTTCGGTTTGGATGCGGTATGCGGCGTTGATTCCGGAGATGCCTGCGCCGATGATGACGACGTCGAATGACAGATTGCCGTCAATCTTGTTGAGAGAGCTCATTTCGTCCGACTGACTGTCCATGGCAAGCCAATGCGATTGACCAAGTAATTTGTTATAGGAATCTTCAAGTGTTCATGTAAATAGGTGGGTTTGTAACATAAGTGAAGCAGAAAATATATTGCAGTTGAACGCTGCCATAGGTCGGTCACGATGTGATATTTCCACGGCTTTCGTGGCTACGACGGGATGGCGTGCAGCAGGAAACCTCGGCACCTCGCAATCATTTCTGGATTATCGTGCCACATCGTACGGGAACCCGATTTACGGCTTAGTTTGCGAGAAAACATCGAAACAGGCGGACGTGGTGGTGGGATTTGTCTCCCGTCGGGCGTTCAGCTTGTCGCTAGATGTTAGAACGGTCATCACATGCAATATTGCCGGTCATGTCCATTGCCTGACAATGATCTGGTACCCGAGGCGTGATGACATGCGTAATTGGCAGTATGGGCATGGAAACGATGGTCACGAAGCCTGGCGGAACTGAATCGAGATCGCAAGCTAAACCACAAAGGGGAACTTTTGAGAGTAGACCCAGGACCTAGTTAAATCCCTAAAGTGCGGGGAAAGTTGTTCGAAGTATCTCTGTGTATTAGGCTAGAGCAGGCATCCGCTTGCAAGCCAAGCGAGAAAATTAGTTGTGGTCGCCAAGGTGTCAAAGCCGACCACTTCATGACCTGTCAAAGTCGCGTGGCAAGGATCCTTTTGTCAATCCGGCAGTCCGCTGGCGACATTCAGATCGGCCGTTGGAGATGCCAAGAGGACGCGTACGTCATTTCAAAGACAGACAATACTCGGTTATTCTGGTTCCATGTGAATGAATGTATTATGCTGCGAGTACTTCTCGCTGGAGCCTAGACCAACTGGGCCATCGAGGTGGTACCTGACCCGGAACCGCGTCACTGCTCACAAAGCCCCCTTTCGGTTATAGCCACCAAGATTGACACCCGCATTCTTGGATAGGAAGTCTTTGGCACGCCTTGCCGCCTGCTCTGCCTCGGCGCCAAAACCAACCCTAGGTCCCAGCAACAGGATGTCGTGGGGGCATGCCTCGGAAATATCCAGGTGAACCAACCATCCGTGCTTCCTGTAGCGTTGACAAAACTCCTTGATATCGTCACAAAGCACCTCGTTTTCTCCCGCATTCACATACATAGGAAGGCTTGACTTGAGTTGGAAGGGATGGCGTAAAGGCGACAGATATGGGCTCGACGGATCGATCGCGCCATGTGCGGAGATGGTTGAGGCCCCCCATTTGCCGAATTGCCTGTTGAGATAGTCCGTCTTGTAGTTGGGAGACCGCGTCAAGTCTTGCTCCAGAGCACCACCCACATCCACCCAAGGTGACCAAAGGGTAATTGCCTTGGGGAGCAGAAGCTCATCGCGCTGACCGTGTTGGTGAATGTATCGCACCAGTGCGAGTACAATGTTGGCTCCCGCTGAATCGCCAGATAGAATGATCTGGCTAGCTGGGATACCCTTCGTTTTAAGCAGGCAGACGTATGCTGTGAGAGCGTCCTGAATCGGCGCAGGAAATTGTCCGTTTTTACCGCTCGAAAGGCGGTACTGCGGCGTGCAAACATGAGTGCAGCCCATATGCCGTATGAGAGTCTGAGCCAAGTATCCGGTATCCTCGTCGCGGCCATTGCCAATGACAAAACCACCTCCGTGAAAGTGCAGTACAACAACCATATCGTGGCCAACTAGCGAAGCAGGGGGCGGTCGTGATGGCGTCCAAGTCATACCCAATTGCATAGGCTGGACGGCAGTATCCGCCAAGGCTCCCTTGTACGACTCGAGAGGCCTTGGGGCAATGACTTCGAACCGGTTCTTCTCTCGTCCCTGGCGAAGGTGCAATCGGTCTCCAGCCTTCGTGACGGACCAGTACAACAGCAATAGTCTCACTACGCGCATGCGGATAGCCTGGTTCAGTGACCATTTCCGGGAAGGGCGTGTCCAAGGAACAAGGCAGAGGGTGGCATCGAAAAGAAAATTAGCTAATGCCCACGGCAAGCACAGGAGGACCCAGAGGTGGATAAGAGGTGCCCTCAAAGTAGAACCAACAGCCATCATGAAGTGCCGTGAGTGAATGTCTTTAAGTCAGTTGCCAAATCTTGTGGCTGGGATATATGGTGGAAGTGGATGTGAAGAGCAAGACAGAAACAGAGTCGGTGCGAAGGGGGTTTTCACGACCTATATATACCACCACGCCTGCGAGCCTCAGCATAATTTCCAACTCTGAAGATAGCCGCTAACAATAATTACTAATAAGTACTGAGTTGTCCTGGAATCCGCTACATGTTGTGTTTTATTCTGAGCTTGATATGGTGTCTATTGGCTCCCAGTGCAACAAAAAGAGTTTTTGTTGATACCCTAACAAACGGGTTCAGCTTCAACTTCGCCGTCCTTCAAATATCTCAAACACCTCTTCTTCAAAGAAATTAGGTATAAAATATCTATAAGGCAGTGGGAGGGGGGGCCAGATCTATGATGGAAGTGCGCTCGCGTCGAATAAATATGGATAATTGACACATAATAATCTTCTCCGACCCTGCTAATGACGTACCGCTCCCTTTCCAATGACATCGCGAAGGAGTTCTTGAACCCACGTCGGCCACCCTCGAATACCAGAAATAGCGGAAGCCGAGTTTGGAACAATAAGCTGCCCGCCACGCTTGCTTTTGATCTGATTGACTACCTCGCTGGCAATTTGGTTGGGAGTCAGCAGGCGAACGCCAGAGCCTTCCAAGCGATCTACGAAATCCTCAACAAGGGGAGTTCTAACAAAATTGGGATGGACGACCGTTGCCAAGACATTTGGAGCTTTGTAATATTGCTTTAGCTCGCATACCAGAGATTCATGGAAAGCCAATGCTCCAGCTTTTGTGGCCGAGTAGTCCGCAGCAGTAGCTAGAGCGACGAAAGATGCAATGCTTGCGACCGTGACCACATGTCCTTTGTTCAACTGGATCATGCGTGGCAGAAACTGCTGGGTGGTGAACCACAGAGACATGAGATTGACGCCGACGATTCTGCGAAGAAACGACTCGGGCATCTTGAGGATGGGTGTTGGCTGCGTGATGCCGGCATTATTGATGAGGATGGATGGATGTCCGAGTTCGCGGCGAACAGCGTTGGCAGCTTCTGCCACGGACTCTGTAGAAGTAACGTCACAGCGGTAAAAAGAGACCCGATGATTCGCCTTGAGGTCCCCCGGTAGGTCTTGGACATCCAAGACGGCAGTGCGAACACCAAGACTAGCAAGCTTCTCGACAATGCTCTTACCAATTCCGCTAGAGCCACCAGTGACGACGGCAATTTCGTCAGGCCAGTTCCAGCCTTTGCTGGCTGTTACGCGCCATGAATTGTGTGCCATGGTATTAAGTGTTTCGTTGATCTGCCTCAGAACGCCCAGACCAACCAAGATTTGCAGGGCTGTCCGAGCCGTTGCAAGGTTCAGGGATGACGCGACATGGTCTGGGAGCTTGTCGACGATGGGAGCAAGAGCATCGCGCACGGCTTCAGGAGCACAAGTGACTGTAAGGAGCAGAGGGGCCGTTAGGAAGGGAGAGAAAACAATTTGACCCAGTCGCAAGACACGTTCAATCGCAGGGGAGTAGAGTAACGAAGACATGGCTGACTTGTAGACGCTAGATTCTAGAGCGGTTGAGTTGATATGTCTGCAGGGTGGGCTTGGGGCTATGATAACATTGAGTTTGGAAGGAACAGTCAAATTACAACTTTTACGAGCAAACCCTTCACTTAGATGAACTTCTTCTGCTCGGCGTTGAAGCCTCGTTTCTCCCGATCGTGACGAGGGGCCCAACGCGTTGAGAAATAGGCCAAGCCGAGGCCCGAAGCTGGACACAGAACAAGGCGGTCGCAAGCTAAACCAAACCAAGTCAAGGTAACGATCGATAAGTGATTTGTTCTCTGGTCTCTCGACAAGCGCAGCACATGTTCCTGACCTCCTCTCTAGCTCCTGGCCCTCCTTACCCCTGTATACGCTAATGATGTTGATCCTGCTCAGCTCGGATGCAACCTCATTTACTTTGCGGGGTTTGGCAATGTGACTGTGCTCGTGCACTCGCTAATTACGTGATTGTCTTTCAGCTTTCCCCGGATCCCCATAACGCTCCAATGTCCGGAAGCTGCATCTCCTCCGAGCTCCCTCACCAAGAATCCTAGACTTTATCGACTCATCCTAAGTCGACTCCACTTGTTAGCCAGAATGGTCTTTCCGGGCCGCTTTAACACAGGCTGCTTGCGATGTCGCCAGCGTAAGGTGAAGGTGAGCGATATACAGTAATTATCTCATCTCGTAGCTATTGAGTAGAAGCTGATGAGAGATATGTTGGCAGTGCGACGAAACGAAACCCACCTGTCGTCGATGCTACAACTACGGGAAGCCGTGTCTTGGATACACTGACCAATTCGACTTTCGTCATTCGTCGCAAAGGACCAAATCTACACGAGCCCCATCTACCTCAGCAAGCCCACCGGCAGACGAAGAGAAACAGGTGATCGTATCTCCGAAACCATGCACACAAGCAGCACGTCCCAGGGTAGACACCAAAGACCAACTTCCAGTCTCCATCGTTCGACAACCGAGTGAATCGTACGACAACGTGTCGCTATTTTACTTTATCCGCCGCTTCGTGTCCCCCGATGATACCGATGGCTTCCCTGGCCACTTCAGCTTCCTGCCCGACCTGTACGATCATTACAAACATGGCATGCTCGAAACAGCCACTCTGAGCGTATCTCAAATGGCCGCGTACAACCATCTCGGAGGCGAGGAACTCCGGACACAGTCATTGAGGAATTACATTAGCGCCATTCGAAGCCTACAACAGAATATCAAGTCGGATGATCAGGCGATTGATGACAGGGTGATTGCGACTATTCTGCTACTCTGCACCTACAAGGCAAGCCTCATCCGCCTCCTACCCACGAGTGATTATGCCGCTAATCTTTCATTAGGATATCAGCGGAGAAGGCTTAGGCGATGCCAGTGAGCACGCCCCGGGGCTTTTCTACCTCTTGGAAAAGCGAGGGCCGGGGCAGATCGGAACGAGAAGAGGGGCAGAGCTCTTTTTGCTTGCTCTTCTTCGACTAGTAAGTAGGCTCTCTGTGTCACACCCGTCGCTGCTGAATTACAATTGACAAAAAGCTTCTTACAGCAAATCTACTCCTTCTTGCGCGAAGACGATAACTATAGTGACCCCGGTGGCATAGCTACTGTCATGGGCCTCTTCGATCCCCTTCTCCGAGCCTTATCCATGATGTCGAGGACGCTGGCAATACGCCATCGTCTAGCGAAATACATCGAGGGCGACACACAACAGAATCAAGCTGACAGCCCTCCCTCAGCTTCTCAAGGTAGCGCAGAGCCGGACGAAGAGAACCTATTGGTAATGAAATGCTTCGAAATGCTCGACGACTTCTATACCTGGGATGAAGAGGCCGCGTCATACTGGCAAACCAACTTTGAGGGCCGTGGTGTGCCGACAGCTCTGGGCAAAATGGGATCCGGAAGCACTTTTTATGACGCCGAGACAGCGTGCATCATCATCTTGGTCCGCTCTGCGCGTCTCATCCTACTGTTGACCGTGGTTCTATACCACAGCAAGCTTCAGTCGGCTAGCGATGCAGCAAATAGCTTCTGGGCAGAGTGTATCCCAGTTCTAGAGGCTGACTTGGGGAAAACCATTCAAGATATGCTCTGCAGTGTGCCATATGCTCTCGGTGACATCGGCCCGGGTGGCATGCCCACTACTATGCCATACGACGGGGCCGCTGCAATGATCATCGTTCACTCCATCAGACTGGTCTCACACTGCGCATATGCAACGCCGGCCCAGCTTGAGAGGGCAGATATTATTTTGAAGAGAATGAACTCGGCGATAGGAATTAGATCTGCGGTTGGATGGATGAACATGGGAGGTGAGGAGCATCGATGGGCGCGCGAGCAAGCGTACCTTCGTCCACTGATGGCCTCGCCCAGTCCGAGCTACTGTGAGGTATTGGATCAAGCTTCAGTGGCCCTTGACATGCTATATTAGGTGAATTTATACTGGTTTGTGCAATACTTTGATAATGAAATGTCATCGTACTTGCGATTTCAGTTCTATTTGGCCACTTGCGCCTGGCAATTTAGAATGCTCCACGCCTATCAGCGTCCCTCCATCTTTCCTGGCATTCAGAGCTATACTCTTCACTCTTCCTTTTGGTACGACCTGGAGAGTTCTAGCTTATCCAGCACGACGTCATCCCGTTCCCAAAGAAACATCAACGCTGGGAAAATTGGGCCACCCACCAATGCCCACTTCACTGCCTTCAGACCCATCGTCATAACACTTGGAGATCCCTGCACCGTATATAGTTGATAGCCGGACCAGATAAGCATCGAAGCACACGTACAATAGACATCCCACCGCAAGAAAGATACTACAATCTCCCGCGAACTGGCCGCTGACACGGGCGGATCCAGCATTACTAGAGTGGGGGGGCTCGTAAGCGAGGTGAGAGCTAGAACATGGTGCGCCGAGATCGTTGGTACAAGGTTGGTTGTAAAAGATACAAGAAGAGTTCCCATCACAACCAGATGCACGCTCAAGGTCAGGCTCGTGATGAATCTATATGCTCGATTCAAAGCCTTTTTGCACTCTCGGGGATTGATGTGGGCTATGTTACGAGCTTTCCCCTGTCTTGTCCTGCAAAAGATATGTGACAGTCCCTGTATCGCGGACTGGTATAGGGGAAACGGCTGCCAGAGGGCGATGACGATGTACTTGGCTTCCTGAGAGAGGATGTTGAGCAAAGGGAGAGAGAGCCCAACGGTTGGTAGAATGTAAGATATGACCGTGGATACTGGTAAGAGGGCGAGGTCGCACGGGTCGGCGAGGATGGAATTCAGCTGCAGGATGGAAGGTGAGGATAGCAGCTGCAGCGTTAGATAAATCGGGGCGATAATGGTGATCGTGACGGCTTGAAATACTATGCCGAATGTCCCAGTCCTGCGTCACAAGTCAGACTTTGTTTAGCTTCGAAGTAAGATGCAAAACCTACCAACTCAGGATATTGCCCCGATTTCCCAGCCTCAAGCCTTCAAGTGCCACCAGGTACCATGCCCCTCCAAATTGGGCAGATAGGTATCCAAAGGCAAGCAAAGCCTCAAGATCGATGCCTTTAGCGCCAGGGTCACTCCTCAACCCTTGAGAGAAAAACTCCAAGAGAACGTAAATTAACGAATCCACAGGAGCTACGCCTGTTATGCTCTTCGAGAATGATGATATCGAGCCTGACATGTCCAGAACACATGGCTCTGGGGATAGCAGGGAACTATCAGAGGTGCAGATGCGGAGTGCATCGAAGAATCCATGTTGGTATGTTGTAAACATACTGGCATAGCCTCCTAGTAGGGCACAGCCTAGAATAAGGCTTGCTACGATCTTTGGAGCCATTTGAAAAAGGAACGTGAATGCACTGTCCTCCTGTAGCAGGGGACAATCTGATGTGTTGCTTGGGTTGGGGGATAATCAATTTAGCTTGAAGCGATGAATTGTGTCACAGGGACGAAGTCTTGAAAGCCTCTATTCAAGTCATACTCTTGTAAATTGGGAGATGCCTACATGTGCATAGTCTCTTCCAGATACCACCGAGCTATTGGAGTACACAGCAAGCTAGACATTTTCGGCTTAGGTTGCGAAAATTTCATCTCAGAGCTGATGGAAGTAATTCAACCCCAAGCATATTAATTGGGCCGACATACGAGAGTATCTCGACAACGGAGGTTCAGCCAATGCCAGGCCTCCGTCGATATCGATAGACACGCGTAACATCTTTTCGTAATTGCTCTCTATTTCGACGTGGTGGATGAACCTAAGATGGAGCCGAGGTATAGCTAGAAGACGTCATCAGAAGATGTGAGTGAGTGAAAACGCATGCTAAGCCCAATCCAGACCCCTTTTGCGACCTGCATTAGCCCGGGCGCTCGAGTGGTCGAAATGACATTTAATCACATGAAAGTTCGCTGGTACAGAAAGGTACCTCGATCGACATCGACAGGGGTTATGGTCCATTGTAACGGTAAGTTGACTGGTAAAGGCTTCAACTTCAGGTTTCTGGGGTAAGGTTGCGACGTGGATGAATTTGGTGATATCTTCCTCTCACGGTGCTGCCTAGAGCATTCCCACTTAGAGACTCGGGTTTAAGTTGACCGGTCGTTTTGCCTGCCGTTCGCTTATCTACTGGGATCTCGAACCATGGCCTGTTATATAGACTTGCACATAATCTTAACTTGACACCAGCAATAATATTCTCAAGAAAATCTCCAGCGTTGTCCTTTTGTGCGAGAAACGAGTAAAGACATCACTTCACTTCTATATATTACAACATACTCAGTATGGCGATTGCAGCTCAGCTTTTTAGTCTCCCCAGCCTCACGCTCGCAGCGGCAGCAGAGTCATTCCTAGCCATCAGGCTGTTCCCTGACTATTACGGCACTCAAAGTCACGTAGCCACCGTAGCGACAGTGCTGCTCATCAACTATGCCTTTGGACTCGTCTTCTGGACGCTGCTATATCCAAGACTGCTCAGTCCCCTTCGCCGTATCCCGGGCCCGAAAGTGAGTTACTCCGCCCCAACATCTCCCCGTCTCCACGTTTAACCAACAACACCACTCTCCTCCATATGCATAGCGCAACAGTTGACATTAATGTTCCTCTCTCGTAGGCATACTTTAGTGCCGCTCATCGCGCCCTCATCATCAAAGGCAGGCCCTCGGGTGATCTCTTCTTAGACCTCGCGAAACAGTACCCCGATCAAGACATGATAACACTCAACGTACTTCGAGACCAGATATGCATCATGAACCCTCGGCTACTAGCCGACCTTCTCGTTCATAACTGCTACGACTTTGCGAAGCCGAAGAGAATCAGCTCGTTCCTGCGACACATTCTTGGAGATGGACTTATCATCGTCGAGGGTGACCAGCACAAGTTCCTCCGCAAAAGTTCGACGCCTGCTTTCCATTTTCGACATATCAAGGAGCTGTACCCTATGATGTGGGCTAGAGGGGAGGTACTGGCAAAGGCACTAAATGAAGACATTACTACCAACGGATCGTCAGCCATAGAGCTGAGCACCTGGGCGAGCAAGGTTACCCTCGACATCATTGGCATTGCTGGCCTGGGCCAAAGGTTTGACGCTGTCGAGAAGAAGAAAGATCCGCTTGCGGGGATATACGAAGCACTTCTTGAGCCTAGCCGGGAAAAGCTCGTCTTCTCCATGTTGTCATTGGCTCTGGGCCTTCCGTTTGTCCGACTGATCCCATGGAAGATGAACGACCTCTTCAACTACTTGACTGGGTCATTGAATGACATCTGTAGGCCAATGATTCAGGAGAAGAGGGTTGCTATCACTGAGAAGGAGGATGACCACTCTGATATTCTGTCACTTCTTATCAAGTCGAATAACTTCTCTGACGAGGCGTTGAAGGATCAACTATTGACTTTCCTTGCAGCAGGGTATGTCGCTCTCAGCCATCCCCTTATATGTTACATCTCTGATAAAGAAATAGCCATGAAACCACAGCTTCTGCACTCACGTGGGCATGTTATTTGCTCACGAAGAACCCTGAAATCCAACAAAAGCTCAGAGATGAAGTTACTGAGGCTTTGTCAGAGGATATCGGAAACATTCCAGCAGTTGATCTTGCCGGAATCTTGGAGCAACTTCCTTACCTGAACGGAATTATGCATGAGACACTACGGCTCTACCCGACAGTGCCAATGACCATGAGACAGGCTCTCCGTGATACGCGCATTGGCGACCAATTCATTCCCAAGGGCACCGATATCATTGTCTCGATCTGGTATGTCAATCGCTCACCAACGATCTGGGGCCCGGATGCTGCAGAATTCCTCCCAGAACGTTGGATCACGGACGGGAAGCCGAATACGAATGGAGGGGCGGCCAGCAACTACGATTTCCTGACATTCTTGCACGGGCCACGAAGTTGCATTGGACAGGGCTTTGCGAAGGCTGAGATGCGATGCCTACTAGCTGTCATGGTGAGATCTTTCTCTTGGACGCTGGCGATGGACGACGCATTGGTGATGCCCAGAGGTGTTATTACTATCAAGCCTGAGAACGGCATGCATCTCAAACTAACGCCTCTGGAGGTTAAAACGTGAATGAATGCACAGTCACAGCATATTATGAATTCAAAATGTGATATTTATACTTAATCCGAGTTAAAATTGACATAATGTTATGTAACTATATTAGTGTGAGCCTCCTCCTCTTAGCTGCAGTTGTTACGCCATCGTACGCTGTGCGACGTCCGGTTGACGAAATATCGGAGCCCCTGATCCCAGGGTTCCGACGGGTTGCTGTCGGCTTTGCACTGCTGCGTGGCCCGAGATGTCAGATAGCAAGCAACGGAAACGTTCCTCCCCTCTGGCAGTTTCGATTGACCGTATTCTACCTTTGAGAACTGAGACGATTTACAACTAGGATGCTGAAGGAACAGTTAAAAGGCAATTTAGACAATACTCGCATTGTCTCTTTACAGGTGGTCACTGGCTATTAGTGAGCTAGTTAAGAACCTATGCCTTGGACTTGCTCTCCACCAACTGGTCAAGCTTTCTAGGAGGGCCACCAAGTAAGACATGATAAGAAAAAGGACTTGTTAAGAATTGATTGCTCCATAAGAACTACACGATTTGAGCTTTGAGGATGCGTCGTGTAGCTATATAGCTACATGTATCAAAAGAACTAACCTCTCCAATACTACTCCCAAATAGCTCCAAGCCAGGGCGTCCAACAGTCTATGACTCACTATGAAGTCCCACTCAAAAGTTGAAGACAACCATGATACTCAAATGCTCACTCTCCGGACGTTTAAGGAGTGATGGGGTTGTTTCCTGGTAGCTTGGTCAAGCCTGGATATTTCCTTAGTAATCTTTGCTAGACACACGAAGAAGAGTGCATTAGAACCCAACTCACCCTGATCAATCTGCTCATTTACACGCCTGGGAATGGTGCATCGATTCGCAGTGTTGACATCTTGGGATTTGAGAGTTCCACAGAAAACATTGCATTGCTGGTCCATGGCTCTCTGTAGAGAATCACCCTCCCAACCAAACATGTAATCACCGTGCTGCCCGTACCCGGTAGTGTCGCCGAAACTGAACACGAACGGCTGAGAGCCATCAGTGGGCCAGTCATTCTGGTTGTTGAATTGACGAGTGTCCCACACAATCTCGTAGAACAGCTGCGGCAGCTTGACAGGGTGGGAGCTCGGGCACGGAGCGTTCATCTCAAAGGTTCCTCCGACAGGATAGGCTATCGAATATCAATTAGAATGAGATCTACTGCCGCTCTTCTGCATTAGTACTAGGGATGTACTTACCAACATGGCTCTTGTGGTCGGGGCTGTCAACATTGACACCATCCCAGCAGGTAGGGAAGAACAGGTTGGTGCGGATACCTCCCGGACAGGGCCGCTTGGGGAAGTCTCTCGTGTCCGAGCCCCCACCCGGAGGAGCATTCACCCCTCCAAAGTTCTGCTCGAAGCAGCGGAAGCTACTTTGTTGAGCATCGTTCGAATTGGAGGGGCCTCGGACCATTGGACTGCCGACGAGCATTCGAAAGCCCTACCGCTTTGTATCAGCACGGCCTTGGTTGATGGCACGACTTACTTGGAACGGGGTTTGCTTACCGGCTTAAAAGCCGTGGCTTTAGAGCCATCATACGGTTGAATGTAGTCTAATCAAAACTCTATATTAGCACAGCAGTGGCACACAATACCCCATAGGTTCCCTTACAAATAGTCATGCCACCGTTGGCCCCGTCAAGATATTGATTGGCCATTTGAGGAACTCGAGTCAAGGTGCCAGAGCGGCTGCGGTAGTATAGATTGGCGGTCCAATAGTTACTGTGGTCCTCTGAAAAAGTGCAAGTGGTGCAAGTGGAAATATCGGGCAGGTGGATCGACGGATCCATGGTGACGTTGAAGGCATTCTAGAATGACCAAGTTAATACCGGATATCTAGTCACAGTCTTGATAAAATTACTAACCCCGCCAGCGACTTGATGAACATGGCCTGATGGAATCATTCCAGGCTGTACAAGCCTGGACAGAGAGTTTAGTCTACTGAGCTTTTAGTAGTCAAAAGGACACTCACGGATCAAGACGGTCGACAACAAGTTCTGAACAGGAGAAGCGTAGCATAGCATTGACACAAGCCGGGGCAGCAAGTGCTAACGCCCCCATGAACGATCGACGCATTTCGAATGTAAGGTTTTGTTGATCTTGGACTTTAGATAAGTGGAGAAGGAATTGCTCTGTGTTTCAACTAAACCCTCAGGTTTTCTATTTCAGACTGGGCAGTTCTTTTATAATCTCTCAAGATCGTGCCAAGTCATATCAGATCTAACTATTTCCGGAGCTCGGAAGCTCCTAGTGATAATACCTATTTGGAATTGCATCTTTTGTGCGGTGTGCACTCTTGAAGATGTGCAGTCTCTCTTCTGGGTCGCAATTGATAAGCCTTGTAAAGGAACACCCTTGTCTCTGGGTCTACCATGTTTCTTTTGGGATGAGGCATGTACACTTCTGAGACCCGTGTCATAAGTCTAACTGTTTTGAGAGCTCGGAAATATGAATCTACGTACTTGGAAAAGTCTTTTTGGTATAGCGTGAACAATTTATACGTCCCATCAATGCGCTGACTCTCAACTGGGACACGAGACGTCTCGAGTAGCATGGCCGAGCGTGCTTCATTGTTGTATCAAGCATGGGTACGCTCATCAAACGCTACGCACCACGTCCTTCTAAGGACCCTGACGCTCCGGGGAGCTTTCCACTTCCCAAAACATCTTGCTCTGTGCACCCTTCGGCTCTTCGCACTTCCCCAATTGGACCAGCACAACTCAATTCGGTCACATGTAATTTCCAGACTCGCCGGGTTTGCCAACCAGGCAGTGAGCGTATGTGTTGTAAGTTAAGGTTATATTGGCGGCTGATTGCGGGTAATCCAGAACCATGCATTTATGTTGCAGTAGGTTCAGCTTGCATTATGTCGGCAGTCATGAGGCGGGGTTTGAGGGTTGTAGATCCTTGCAGTGAAACGTGGGGGGCCTAACTTTAGCCTAAGTAACCCATTCGTATCCTGTTCTACGACGTTGCTATTGGGTTCGGACAGAGCGGCTGCTTGTTGGATCGGACCCTGTACTACTTGACACTGTATTGTCACGTAATTTTCTCGGCTTCGAAGGTGGGTACAGGAGCATGTGAATGTACGGTGATGGTGGGTCGTATCATGGTGGCTAGCTTGGGAGTGGTCTCTTCACAATATCTTTAACCTATAGACCCAAGAATTTTCACTGCAAGAGTGCCTGTCTTGTGTGATAGATGGCGTCTAGGGATGATTGTCGGTCACACGTGAGCTTGTTGACATGGAGGGTTGGGTAGGTGGGTAAATGAGCGGGAACCTGAGTTGTCATCTGAGGATGTTGAACAACCAAAGAAACTCCTGACCAACCAGAGAAAGCTCGAGTATTCTCCGGCCGTGACTTCGGAATCAAGTGCGCCGTACACTCGGCATTCCCGGCAACATAGGGCACGGTTCAGAAGATCTGCAGAAGATATGGTAACCTAACACCTCCCTGAGACTATGACATACACACTGTTGTACAATACACGATGCTACAGAAGGGCTATGCGTCGAGCCATGTACAATTCATCTGTTGTCGAGTGAGATGTGTGCATAGGAACGTTCAACTTTTAGCCTCCCCGGTGAGTGAATCAGTCCCGATTTGTTCTCCCATAGAGTGATTTCAGTGTAGAATAAACACACAGGTGCACTGAGCGTAATAGCTGTGAACCCCGCCTGGTGTACTTGGACAAACAAAGACTGGAGCCTGACACTCCCAGTGACTGAGTTCCCATCTACTAGCGGACATCGATGATTGAAAGATTAGAATATGTTCTCCGCCATCATCTACTGCAACCACACTTTGAGATGGTGGGCATACTAGACGCAGTTAGATGGGCAGCTGCAACCAATAATTTGATTAAATCAGTTTTCCAGGATAGGCAATTTGATTTTGAATTAAGCCGAGTACATCGCCACATTCTACCGGCCTCTGAAGGAGGATACTAGCGCTTCCCGATCGAAAGAGATGCGTGGGCCTGTGCTGAAGATGGATGGATTCCCGCGATAGGACTCGGCAAATATGCTGCCGCTGTCTCGATGCGTGTGGGCTGTTCAAAAGTCCTGTCATTTGCCTCTATCAACTTGAGAAAGATCTGCTCGCTGTCTTGTCCAGCCTAAGTGCGAAGATGAGGTGCTACCCATTGATTTGTTAGAGCGCTCTTACTCCCATTTGTTGGATGATCGGACCGCTGAGGGGTCTCCCTGATTAATATCACATGCATCGCAACCCTACCTAGGCAATCTAACGTAGGAATCTAGCAAGGTAAAATGGATCAAGGGGTAATATGCAGTTGAGCGAAGATGAGGATAGGGACGAGGAAACTAAACGTTGCTTCCATATGTGCACACGGTGTAACGGTCTCGTCCAGGAGTTAACTCATTTGCACTGAAAACTCAGCATATATGGAGATTCTTCCGCCGTGCCTTGTTTATTGCCTGGGTGATTTCCCTCCATTTAAGTTCCGCCGATGTTGTCACTCATCATCATGATCTGTCTCCTACCACTACTAAAAACCCGTTTTCTTTCATTCAAAGTGTCCTATACTTCGAAAGCAGTGAGCTTCCGGGTACAGCACGTTGCTTGAAAGGGCAATTACACGGCGTTGTCGACACAACACATACTTGCTGTTGAGAAAAGAGACTCTCCCGCTAAGCCTACTACATCGTGGTATCCCCCTCTTTCTTTCTTTTCATACATTCTTTGCCCAGCGCTAACACCGAGGTTTCATTTTCCAGGCCACGATTAATGCAGATCCTGAGCCCTACACCGAGAAATGGCATGCACCCATTGCTAAGCTATGCTATGTCGTGACCTGTGGCGGCCCTGGCCCACAGACACTCCCCCTCGACATGCGTGGCACTGATAGTAGTAGCAAGTGAGAGAGCTAAGCAGCTGCTGAGAA